TCATTGCAAGTATCTCGTATTTCGTCACCGTACCGCTTACTTTACACTCCTTGGCAATCTACATTGTTAGTCAGACATTTTTATCTGCTTGATGCGTTATAAATATTCTTTTTAATAATACAACATATTTTCGACGCTCATTCGTTTTCTAATATGTAATAAATTATTTATTAAAAATTTAGAAAATTAGAAAATTTGTAAAACTTATTACGCGTTAGATACCGAATATTTATTACTACATAAATATCATGTTTATAATATAACAAATATAAAAATTTGTTGTTTTAAAAAATTTCGTAGACACATCTGCTGCAATCAGATTGGAGATTTCATCAACTTGTTCTTTTAATATATGCAACACGGCGAAAAATCTTCCCTTCTATCCGTGCGCATAAAAACCAAACGCAATAAAATGTCAGGCGTTTATGCAAAACGCGGTCGCATAACCTGGTTGGCGCACAATACAAACTGAATTCGTAAAGTATCATGGTTCTCATTTCTTTCCAGGTCACGTTTTTATTACTACCCTAAAGGATTATTCTCGACAAAAGATACGCGGTTCGCGTAATGCGCATCCAACCAACTGGCACCAAGTACCAAGTGATACCTCAAGGCGAGGCCTCATTCCTGCGTGTCGCGTGTGCAGACCGCGCTGCAGCAATGAGCGAAATTACGCATAATTTGACATTTGATACTGCCGGCTGCTCGTCCCCGCCAAGAAGCGAACTCGAATCGCAACGTCTACTCGCATTCGTACATTACAATCTTATCGGACGTTATAAATCATTTCTGCACGACCTAAAGTGTCTTGCGTAGAGCACGAGAGACATCTCTTTCTCCTTCGCAAATAAAAATTTCAAATTTCTACCCGAAATGCCTTTTCTCGCAACATCTTAATTTGCAATTACAAATTTCTCAATGAGCAAGCTTCAACACAATATGCAGGCAGGATAAAATTAAAATTAAAATTAAATGAAGCGCAATATTTCATTATCTACCTATCAAAATTTAATTTTCAGTCGTAGATAACAACCAAAGCTATCGATGCCTAATTAAAACGGCGCCTAATTGGCCTCTTTTTATCTACTACTCGACGGAACGGTAGGACGAAACCTTGAACGTGTGTCTACATATTACCTGAGCGGAAAATTATCATCGGCAATTATGCGAGATATTTCTTATCGGCGTGTATCCCTTGCGAATGCACACCCACATTCATCTTTTTTTATCTCGAAGCGTCAACCTAATTATCGTGATTACCGCTCGACGTTTACGCAATAAGACTACTTCGCGAACACTTTATTTAAGGACATGTAACGTCACGTCTTTGTCACGTGGATCGAGCACGTATACGTATACGTACGATGTCTCCGATATTATGTTGGTACGTACGAGCCCGCTTCGAGGATTTCGCGTGCATTATACCATTATCCCGACCGCAGCGTATCGTTACAGTGTTCATCGGATGCGGATTACGTGAACGCGACGTTGGCACGGCCAGTCAGCCCGCCAGTTCGCATCCGGTGCACCCGAAAGGGAACATCCTTTCTCTCTCTTTTTCACTCTGGCACGACGCGCTTCCGATATACGCGTCGGCGTTTCCTTTCCATAAAATCGTCGGGATCCGACGACGATTCATTCCGACAGATTCGCGAATTCCCACCGAGACGGGCCGGATGTAGGTTATTAACCCGTGAGTGTGCGTGCAATTATTTTCAAACGGAAGTATGTGAGATATCTATGTTACTCTCGCATTGTTTTCTAATCGGTAAATAACATGTATACACGGTGATCGAGACAATAAATGGCCAGTTTCAAATGGCCGGATAAATAAGCATTTTTTATTTTTTCCGAGTCTCTTTCTAGTCTTAAATGGCTATGTAATATGCAAATTTATGCGGAGAGACAATGTATTTTTTAATTTATTATACAAATTCTCGAAGTCTTTAATATTTTCTAATTTCTAAATGATTTCTAATAACAAATTCGACGATTGAATATTGTACGATAAAATGCTTTTCAAATTTTATAATTAAAATATTTTTAAGTAAGAAAAAAACTTTTCATGTTTTTCACATATCTTTTTGATAAAATTGAAAAATCCTTTTTCTGAACGATTTGAATAAAATACAATAATAATTTTTATGAATTCAACATCTTTAAAAAGTAAAACTACAAAGAATATGTAATGTCTTTGAAAATATTTAAAAAATTCAATGCAATATCATTTATATTAATTCTTCAAATTAATATAAATGATAACGTTAGTATAAAAAATACAAACTGTATGGAGTTGCTGTAGTATTGAAAATAATATAAAGAAAATAACAATAATTGTTTCTCATATATTCTCTTTTTTAAATTTATACCCTCATATGTTGTTTTTTTTATTCTTGTTTTTTCTACATACATAAAGATCTCTTTTGTATTCTGTCTGATAAGAATTCTTCTCTATGCTGCAAATTGTCTTTTCAATAATGAAAAAAAACGCACGTAATGATATGAATAATGCTCCTGCTACAGTATGCTCAGTATTGTTCTTTTACTAAAACTATTTAGTTTGTATAGCGATAAAAAATTTATTAAAAATTGTAAAATATATTAAATTTTTTTCGTTACGTAAAATTTTATTTTTCACATATTTTATATGAAAAAAGAACAAAACTTTTTAATTTATAAACTAAAAGAAATTAATGTTTAGAATATTACATCATAGAAAAATGTAATTTATATTTTATCAAAAAGATATTTAAATAAAGAAAGTATCATGACAAAGAATATTGCTTTTATGGTTATGATTCTATGCAAAGAACAATTTTATGAAGTACGGTATTTGAGCTTTAGTATTATACGTTTGCAATGACATTGTATTTTTGCCTATTGAAATTTTTTTAAAATAATCGTATCTATAATAGAGAAGATTTAGTAAAAAAACGATTTATTAAAAGAGAGAAAGAAAAAACTAGGAAAGAGAAAAATCTGTAGAAAAATCTATAGGTACATGTTAAACAATTTATTAAAAATTCCAAAAATATTTGGATATTTTTATACTGCTTAATGCACCAAAGTTATGTATGACAGCGAATTTTAATTTTTTTCAATATTTCCAAAAGTTACACTTTTTATTTAGACTTATTTTAAAGATAGTAATTTAAGAATATTATTGTATTTTTTTTTATTTGTAAATCCTTGATAAAAGATAAAATATCAACAAAAATTTCAGTATGTCATAAAAATTATATGTCATTTAAAAATCCGGTTTTGTTACTCGTTGAAAGCAAAAGCCATAATAATAATACGTTCTAAAATGAAGATTTTGTCTGACCGTATTCCTTTTTGTTGTTTTTAACATTTAAAACCAAATTTGCATTAAAAATACGGCATTAAATTTTTTTGTATTTTACGATACGTCTCAAATCTTATTTCTCGAAATATTATTTCCATCTAATTAACAATTTCAATAAATATATTTACATGCCAAAACATATATTACGAGAAGAATAAGCTTTTAACTGATAGATTATCAGTGTATACGTGACAATTCGAATAGATAGAAAGAGAAAGATGTACGTGACGCGTCGTAAATTGGCACGTTGAAACATGCCATTGATAAAGCGATTAATCTACCGATCGACTACACCTGTCAGTCGGTCATGATGTAAACAGACTACCGGTAATTGTTTGTCAAGCACAAGTCAGAGAACTGGACTTCGTCATATCTAAAGAAATGTGAATGCTATATGTCGCGGAAATCAACATTATATAAAATTGATTAAATATCATAACATGACATATAACATACCCACACTATTATATATAAACAATTATATATAATTAAAAGAATCTCTAGAAAAAATTTCAAAAACAGTAACTTCCAAATTGTGTTGAAAATTATTAAATCTATTTTATTTCGAAATACATTAAAAAATAGATTTGTCAGAGTAATGAAAACTTGATTTAAAATAAATTATATAATGTTTCTTAAATTAGATTTTCTTAAAAAAAAATTCAAATTAAAATATCTTTCACTTCTTTTCGTTTTTAATTAGCGTTAACTAATAAAATATTCAAGCATATTTTAAATAAGTAAAAGTATACAAATACATTTGATAGTAAAACTTAAAGTAAATAAGTAATTAATGCGTCAATAAAAGAAGCAGATAATCCTGACAGTAATCTTGACATCAAGAAAACGCGATTATCTGTGACGCGTTATATCTTATCATCGAACGCGAATATGCCGTGAAAACACAAAAGATTACGTTATAAGAAAAATTCTTCGATTTATGTTCATTTCTACAAATGTAGATTAACTTTAATCTTTTTAATTTATTGTTTATCTTCTTCTGATTGTTAGAACTGTAAAAAGATAAAAGTAAGTGAAACCAAGGTTAAAGTTAATCTACATTGGTAGAAATGGACATTATTCGCTTAAACGGATGTCGTGGAACGTGGAAAACGCGATGTGATTATCGCGCACGGTCGAAACAACCTGTTAATTCCGTGCTCGCTGCATGGACGCCATGCCCTAAGCGCGTGCACCGTTGTCGTGAAAACAAAAGTTACAATTCGTTAAGGTAAAATGCAATTTTCAGTGAAACGCTTAAACTTAGTAATGTATATGCTATATTTAGCATTACAAACATACGATCGGCCGCTTTTTATACACGCACATAAATTCAATGTCAAGTCATTCCACAACAGTGATTTTCGCAATTTTTTCAGCCTTGGCACAAAATTAAGAAGTTAATAAGAAAAAAAGGTCTACGGCAAACGTTAATAAGAAAAAAAGATCTATGCGACAAACGTTTTTCCGCAAGTGCTAATTTAGCCGTATCCGTTTTTATTCGTCGATCATGCTAAATGTGACCTAAAAATGACGCTTATCGATGTCGATTGTCGCAGCAAAGATCGCGACAAAGGTAAGACAATATTTGATTATCTCTAAAATTAGCACACGCACAGGCTGAACCTGATAATCTTTAATTCACTAGCCTTACCTTACATCTTCGCGTGATAATGTTAAACACCGGCATGATGTAGCGCCGATTCGTTAGTAACCGACACGTGCTTGCGAAACTTGTCTCTTCCAGTCGATTTCTTTCCAAGTACTGTCGATATATCCCCCCAGGGATGCTGTTGGCGCACAATGCTCGCCAGCCGATCTCCGATTCGATTAATCGAGCAAGCACTCCGAGGCAATGCCGATCGCACCGAAATAGTCCATCAATGTTTATCGAATTAAGTACGAAATTAAACTCCGATCGATGCGGCAAGCCGCGTGAAAGAGAGATTTCTCGAGCGAGGGTATTCTGCAAAGAGGTTCTTGCACTTCGCACAATTAGGAAAAAATACACGATAGTGTGAATTTAGAAAGAGAGTTTAGAAATAGGATCTTGGTCGATCGATGCGGTTCTTCTATTGCGCGGTTGTCTCGTCCCAAAGATAATGGTCGATCACTATCAGCAGATAACAATATCTTTAAAAGGTCTTGAAATATTTCCAGTTCTTTAAAATCATCAGTTAATTTTTCTCTTCTAACCAGGTGAACGCAATACACATTGTCATTCATTCCCAAACAATCACCCTCGGTGATGATTTAATTTAATTTTCTTCAAAAATCATCACGTTATCACTATTAACGATCAAAAATTCCAGAAATTTTTTAGTATCCGATTTGTGAAATTCAAATGGCTTGTCAATCACTGTTAATTCGGAACTATTAATTCTTCATTATTCCGATTCAAGAACTTTCGACGCTCTCAAGATACTCCATTCAATCTGCGCTGACAATGAGTCTGATGACTAATAAAAAGGTATCTGTTACTGTCGTCTCGTTGCGGCGTGCGTTTTCCTTAAAATCCAGGCGTTTCTCTCCGAATGTCGTTCGCTGTGCCGGACACTGCGAATCGTCCCCTTTCACTCGGTCGTTCCCGGCGTCGCAGACCTGTTCGCGGGAGAGACAATCGCAATTGGGTCGATCGATGACACTTTCGTCGTCAGGATGGGCGATGCGACCGCGCCGACGACGACGGCAAGGAGAAGCGCATTTTCCTCAATCGATCGCTCGCTCGCTCACTTGTGCGTGCACCGAGTGTCGATTCCCACCACTCTTTACCTGCGAGAACGTTTCGGCTCAAGGCCGCGGCTACCAGATAACGCGCCTCTTGATCCGTGACGATTCCTTCGAGAGCGGTGTTGAGTGATCCGATTATAAATTATTAGGTCTCCTTTATGTGATTTTTTTTTTAATCTCTTCAAATCGATTTTTCTACGAGATTTTTTTGAGTATGTTTGAGGACTTATCTTTGAGGACAATTTGCTTTGTGAGCTCACTGTATTCGAAAAATTGCTCGACGATTGGTACTGGTTATACTCCGATGAGCTTACAAGGACAAGGCTCGAGGTTACGCAAGGAAATCCTAGCGTTCTAGAAAACGACAAGATTCTGAATCTACCGATTAAATTTATACTCGGTGCGGTTGTCCAAGGCTGTCACACTTTACGTTTATCGGTGAATCGGACTTCCACTTCTATGCATCTTGTGCAATGCCGATCGCATCGAAGCGAATAAATTCTTTCGCGAGGTCGGCGAAGACAGATTGCACGCTTTCACTCGTACTTTTTAAAGGGCACTCTTTGCTCGAGAATATTCTACTTGATATTCTACATATCGCATGCATCACCTTTCTGTCCTTCTTGGCGATTTTCTCCGACAATTATGATCTTATTTAACGCTTCATTAGCAGTCCATTGATTAAATTCACGATAGCAAGATCGGCAATTTATTACCTTCTCATTTCAGCGCACAGTCGTAAAAGTTCGAAACGAGACGAGCGGAGACGTCCTTGATGCAACTTTACAACAGATGCGTTAAAAGTGTCTCGCCCATAACCGCGTTTTTCTCGTTCGAAAAGCGCGCTCTTCTCGCGCAAGGCGGAGAATCGATTTAAATCCCAAGATTACATAAATCCCTGCGAATTACACTTCCTTCTGATGAAATGATTATCCGAATGATCAGGGAGCTCTACAAGATTTATTCACCGACAAACACGTGAAATGCGTTGCGACCGGCGCGCGGCGGTGTTGTTGCTATCGATCGATCGATTATGCGGCGAGCGTTTCCCGCGGAGTTTCCCGTTTTCCGTTGCGGGGCGCAAAACGTGCGGCGAGTGCGCGTTACGCGGTTCGAAGGCCAACACACAACACGTTGCTCGTGAGTCACTACGAGCTACGTAGACCGGAGCTAAGTGGCGGGCCAGTCAACAATCGCGGGAAACACACCTTGGGACAATAGGTCGCGCGCACGGTGCGCGCCCACCAGGAGCAACAAACAACACACCTCGCGACGCGCGGCGACGGACTCGTATTCTGAAAGAAGCTCCGCGCGCGCGTCAGGCCGAACGGCGCGGATCCGCTCGGCCGCGCTCGTCGCCGCTCGGACGCGCTCGGTCCGCGCGCCACGCGCTCGCCATTCACTCGGTCGCCAACGAGCGTTGCAACAGGTTGTTGTTAGTTGTAAACTGTCAACCGACAGAGAGAGAATCGTTCATTTAGTAAAGATGTTTGCTACAAATATCAGACTCGTGTTGCCGAAATAAATCTCGCCGCCGACGAAACGGTGTTCGATATCCGAAATAACAAGTTCGCATACACGAGAGAGTATTATAGACTCTCTACGGTAAAAAATGTAGACGCTTTTGCGGATTAATTCGGATTTTTTTAAATGTTGTTCGTTTTACACGGTTTTTATATAAAATTACAACTAGAATTCTATTCTGTATTCTGATACAAGTTACGAAACGTTTAAAGTGGAGCTTTAGATTATTGTATATTTCCACTCGGTTTGATCCATAGAATGAAGGAGCGATATACATGGGATTTTGTATGTTATATAACAAGACCGGAAAGATAGACAGGCGATACATTAAGCACACGACGATAGAAATCTAACGAGCCTCAAGTGTCCCAAGTGTCACAGTAGTTAAGTCAAAATATGGGCTTGTGAGATGCAGCATGAGACTATCTTAGGATTACAAGGATTGCGAGGATCATTCACAAAAGTGACGAGTATTTACGATTCAATCTTAGAGATTTCTTACTTGTCATTAGAAACAAATAATAACAATAACAAATATGATATAAGCTAGTATACGAGCAAGAGAATAAGTAAATTTTTCTTATAAATATCCATATATGCAATAAATGATTATCTTTAATCAGCAATTTAAGCGTTGTAATAATTTAAGCGTTAACAAATATTGATAACATTTTTATGATCTTACATAACATATGACTAGGATGCTTGCTTTGTACGGTTATGCAATTATGTTCAAGGTACCACATAAATCATCTAGTCATTAAATTTTAAGCAGCAAATTTCGAAAGGGAAAATTTGCTTATTATTTTTTTCTCTCACTTTTTCAAAATTAATGTGCAAAATTAAAAAAGAAAAACAATTTTAAAATACATTAAATTTAAAATACATCATTCGACAAAATATAAAATATTCCACATAGATCGCAATCATTTATCTCTGGACTTCTTATATATCTCTATAACGACGTTACAACTTATCAGGACACTTTATAAAATGAGGTGTGTGAATAAGATAATAAAGTGAAATAATACAACGAGGCTTATGTCAAATATCTGCGTCACATAATCTGAAAACTGGCGTTTGATAAGAGCAAGAAATAAAATGCAAATACTGATAATCGATGCTGAGAGAAAAATTACATGGTCCGATAGTGCCATCCATTCGTGTCACATATGCAATTCTTCTGTAAAGAACAACAAAAGTTTGACGGCAGATAGACTGTGTAAACTTATTGTTAACTCTCAAGAATGGAAAAAATTCCTACTTATACATTACACTTAATTTTTAATATAATAAATATTATCGTTTATATCAATATATATCAATATATGTATCAAAAGTATTAATAAAATATAAATTTTCTGAACTGTGTATCCATAAGATTCTCAATAATTTTCTGTTTAAAATAATAAATGAAGTTTATATAAAATGTATATAAAATGTTTTTTGATTATATTTATATCTTCTAGATTATAAATAGAAATCCATGGTGCGCAGTTTTCTTATTTTTAGATTTCCGTTTTACCGTGAGTCGATTTTCAGCGAGAGACGATCGTGGCAAATTACAAAATTCGGCTATAGGTCTAGATTTCTTCTTTCATTCCTTCTTTCATTAAGTATTCCATGCTCGCGTTACAAATACGAGACACTCCTCGGTTTAGTTACAGAAGCAGATTTCATATTTGGTAAGCGCGATCTATCGATGTCGCCAAATAGAGCAACGCAATCAACTGAAAGACTGCAGAAGACAAGAAGAACGACGGGAATATTTAGATGGAACGTGCGCGTCTACACACGTGTGTGTCAGACGTAGAGACGAACGGGAAATATCCATTACGTAACCAAGTCTAAACGTCCGCGTCGACGCTAATTTACGATTCTTCGTTCCGAGCTTTCGTCGCGATATACGATCGGCGCTATGGAAACCGAAGTATTTCGATCGCAATGAAAGATTTATGCCAATCGATCGTAGGTCCGGCAACGTATTTATATTTTATCTATAAATTGATAATAGCCTCGTTACCTCGCGGGGACTGACCAAATCGATCGTATTGTCCGATATGAATTTTTCGTAACCTTTTATCAGGAACAAATCTACGTTGTGTTATAATTCATCTAAAATTAGATATTTGTCGCTTTGGAACCTAGCCAGAGAAATATCCCCCTTATTATATTGAATTTTGAATTTTTTAAATCACGAGATGCGTTTCTTAATTTAAATCATCTTTTTTAACGGCACAACTTGATTAATTGAAAAGACAAAAAAATCCATGTGCCAATGTAAAAACACGAAAGAATTAAATAATACAAGGAATTAAATGATATTCGCTCTAGTATGCTGAAAATTACAATTCTGACGTTGAATCCTGTTGAATATATATCAGGCGAAACTGTTAAATGCAAACGTACAAATGAGATTTCTGCATTGCAACAGGTGCAAATTCCAGGGTCATATTAAGACCGCAAGCCATTCAAACCGCGATGTATTAAGAGCTTAAGACCTGCACACACCGAGAATGTCAGGCCAATGAAAATTAAGCCGATAGCGCGTTGACGCCAAGACTTCGTAATCCCAAGATGTAAGTGCATTCGAAATAGCAACAAAAAGTATTTAGAAGATGAAAGAAAGTTCTTTACTTCAAGAACCGGTTTTTTTTTTGACAATCGTGTAGCCTAAAGCGATGAATAATATTCGTCTAAATCAGAAACACACGTTCGTAAAACTATTTATTTACGAAAACATCAATCTTGATGGTAATTATAATGGACAATCGCGTGTCACTCAGTGCATTAACCGTGTAACGAAGATTAATTGCGCTCCAACAGTCGCGGTATATCGTGCAACGTACGCATCAAAATCATCGTTTCTCACACGGTAAAATCTTGAGGATGGAGGATGATTCATCTCCAATCGGAATCGGGACGTCGATCATGCGAGCAAGAATCGCGTTAAAATTGTAGATGCACAAGACACGCGGCCAAGAGATGCTAAAATACACCCTCTCTTTTACGGTTACTTTTTACGACTGTTCAACGAAGACCGCGATTTCCTCATGTTCGCGGATGCGAGCCGAATATCAAAGCAGAAGAAATCGCTGCTATCTGTCTCTGGCGCAATCGACCGACCGAAAGTAAAAGCG